TCGCCCCCTCTCCCCCAGCCCTCTGCCCGCTCCCGCTCCCGCGGAGAGCGCCGGGAGAGCCGTTTGGGGGAGCCCCGGAACCCGCGGTCGCCACCGCCGCGGCGGCGGCCCGGGGCTGGCGGCGTCCGGGAGGTTCTTTCCTCCCGCCGATGGGACCGCGCTGCTGCCGCCTCCTCGCCCCGCCTGGGCTTCAGAAACGCCGTGCACACCCCCAAAGAGAGATGTTTTACGGGGTGTCTGAGAGCAGTGGGCCTGGGAGAGGTGAGAGGGGGTAAGTCGGCCGTTTACTTTGGCAAAGCGGCGCTGTGTGTGCGACTGTGTGTGGCGGCTGGTGGCTCTTTCCCTCCCCTCCCTCCCCTGCTTCCACCCCTTCCCTTTCCTTGGATTTGGGGCGGGGAGGGGGAGGGGGAGCCTGGCGTCCTGGAACTCCGGGCGCTCCTGCCTGGGCCGCTGTGGGAGCAGCTGTGCCCTGGCCAGGGGTCCGGCTGGGTGGTGGGTGCGAGCCTGCTGGCCCCAAGCTGCTTAGTGCTGGGATGTGCACGGCGATGATCCTGGGTCTAAATTCTTTGAGGGAGAACAAATACAGTTCCCTCGTCCTCCAAAGGAAAAAAAAAAATCTAATAATCTGAGAATGTGCAGCGCACCCGCAGATTTGCATCGGAGGTGCATTTCCCAGTCAGCATGCCAGCCTCCCCTGGCTCATTCAACTTTATTTCCTCAAATTTTCGGGCTCCTTTGATGGCGAGAAGGAGGGGAAAGGGAGTGGGGTGAGAGGAAGCTCTCCGACCCTGGCTAACCAGAACTGAATTAAAGTTGTAAACGCTCGAGTTTAATATTGGCTGGACACAATTTGCAATGGGCTGTCAGAAGGATGGGAGCTGAATGGGGGCGGGGAAGCACTGGGGGGTGGGATGGGGGGAGGGGACCCAACCCCCGCAGAATGGATGGGCAGATTTGATCCAGCGGAGAACCGAAATTTCAAGGTAAACGTTTTGATTTCCTAGGGGCTGTTTTTGCGGCTTTTAAACCGCGAGGCGTTTGCAGTTGCGTTGGGAGGTCGGGGGATACTTGAGAGGTTTATACACTGTAATTCAGATTCGTCTCCATACACATCTGGGTGGCCATCCGTGAATGATTCCCTGGCACACTTGCACGTGTGTGTGTGTGTGTGTGTGTGTGTGTGTGTGTGTGTGTGTGTATGCAGTGGCTTTTAATAACGAGGGCGGGCAGGAGTCAGCTTAGGGATCAAGATTCAGGTCTCCAGATTTGAGCTCCTGATTCTGAAACGTCTTGGCTCTAGTTTTGGGTTGCGATTCGACATCTTACTCTGGTGGTGGGGAGGCAAAGGCAAGGTTGACCAGAGAAAAGGCATTGGCTCCCCGAACCCATCATTTCTACCAAATGTTCCCTCCTACCCCCACCCCCCACCACCCAAAGCGAGGATCGTGCGCGCGCCCTTGCGCGCGCGAGCACACACACACACACACACACACACCATTTGTGTGCTTTCATTTATGAGTGCTACTGTAGACTCAAAAGTAGGAAGTCGAAGAAATCCTTTAAGGGGACAAAAAGAAAGAAAGAAAAGGGGGGGAGGGGTGGAACGATGCTTTAGGGCAATGAAATTCGGATTTAAAGCACTGACCTATGTCACTTACAGTTCCATGTCCCCTCCACCTTTCTCTTAATTAGTCCAAGTACCCTTTGCCCAAGGAAGAAAAGGGGGTTGCAAAACACTGACAAATGTAATAAGCCATTTCAAAGATGGGGGGGGGGTAGTGAGGGCTTAGTACAGACCAGATCTTGCTAATCGAGTAGGGTTAGTTTTATACCACGGCAAACAGTTGCAGAGCCCGAGATGAGGGAGGCTTTCGCTTGGATCCTTGGTTTACTTTTAGTTGATTCCGGGTAAGCGATAGGAACACCCTCTTTAAACTCCAGGAATCAGGTGTTCCGGATTGCGGATGCCTTCGCTGAGTTCTTTGTAATCCATCGTGCAGAACTATTTCAGTGACTTAAAGATGCGGTTTGGTAGCATTGCTGACAAGATCAATGAGAAGTGGACGCAGGGCATCTCAGAGAAGTGCTACTAAGTGGCACCGTGCATGCAATTAGGATGTTGATGTGCTTAATAGCCTGGTAGTGAAGTCCACCATCAAAGCGGGTGCGATCCCCTTTTTTCTCCAGAGTCAAAGCTCCTGAAGACAATTGGTGATTTAAGAGCTTCTTTTGCACCCTTTTTGATGTATTATCTTCCATCCTTTTTGCCTCTGAAAAGTATTCTTTAGCTTCCCACCCTAGCGTTTGCAGCTAGGGTTTAAAATAGCCCAAGTATAGTGGCTCCTTGCTTTTCTGTGAAAATGGGAGACCTTCCTGGTGAACTGTTAACTGAAGAGACTATGAAAGAAAGGCAGAGGAGCTGGGTAGAGGTTGAGGTGGGGAACCTTATAAAATGGTGCATCTTTTCTCTTAAATTAGAACCATGAAACTGAAGTGACAGCCATTTTATGTATATTTATGGATTGGTTTTGAAGAGGGGGGAGGGATTGAACACTAAAATGGGACTTTAAGTAACCTGCCTTTATCTTGTAAAGAGTAGCATGTTTCTATTGTACTCATTGGGAAATTGTATCAACCTTAAAAACAAATCTCAGATTAGACTAAAAGAATATCAGATTAGACTAAAAATCTGGAGAATGTCTGTGCTCCACTGGGGGGTGGGGTGGGGTGGGGAGGGTCATTCGTATACCCTCCTGGATTTCAGAGATATAGTATTAGAGAAAAGGACCTTTCTGACTAATCCCTTTTTTTTTTTTTTTTTGTTATACCCCGTTGTTTCCTTTCCCCACTCTCTGCCCCTTGCAGGAGGTAAAATGCACACTTGCTGCCCCCCAGTAACTTTGGAACAGGACCTTCACAGAAAAATGCATAGCTGGATGCTGCAGACTCTAGCGTTTGCTCTAACATCTCTCGTCCTTTCATGTGCAGAAACCATCGATTATTATGGGGAAATCTGTGACAATGCATGTCCTTGTGAGGAGAAGGACGGCATTTTAACTGTGAGCTGTGAAAATCGGGGGATCATCAGCCTCTCTGAAATTAGCCCTCCCCGTTTCCCAATCTACCACCTCTTGTTATCTGGAAACCTTTTGAACCGACTCTATCCCAATGAGTTTGTCAATTACACTGGGGCTTCAATTTTGCATCTGGGTAGCAATGTTATCCAGGACATAGAGACCGGGGCTTTCCATGGGCTGCGGGGTTTAAGGAGATTGCATCTAAACAATAATAAACTGGAACTTTTGCGTGATGATACCTTTCTTGGCTTGGAGAGCCTGGAGTACCTACAGGTCGATTACAATTACATCAGTGTCATTGAACCCAATGCTTTTGGGAAACTGCATTTGCTGCAGGTGCTGATCCTCAATGACAACCTCTTGTCCGGTTTACCCAACAACCTTTTCCGCTTTGTGCCCTTAACCCACTTGGACCTACGGGGGAATCGGTTGAAACTTCTGCCCTATGTGGGGTTGTTGCAGCACATGGATAAAGTTGTGGAGTTACAGCTGGAAGAAAACCCCTGGAATTGCTCCTGTGAGTTGATCTCGCTCAAGGATTGGTTGGACAGCATCTCCTACTCTGCCCTGGTAGGGGATGTGGTTTGTGAGACGCCCTTCCGCTTACATGGCCGGGATTTGGACGAGGTGTCCAAGCAGGAACTCTGCCCAAGGAAACTGATTTCCGACTACGAGATGAGGCCACAGACACCGTTGAGCACCACCGGGTATTTACACACCACCCCAGCCTCGGTGAATTCCGTGGCCACTTCTTCCTCTGCTGTTTACAAACCCCCATTGAAGCCCCCTAAGGGGACTCGCCAACCCAACAAGCCCAGGGTGCGCCCCACCTCTCGGCAGCCCTCCAAGGACTTGGGCTATGGCAACTATGGCCCCAGCATCGCCTACCAGACCAAATCTCCGGTGCCTTTGGAGTGTCCCACCGCGTGCACTTGCAACCTGCAAATATCGGATCTGGGCCTCAATGTCAACTGCCAGGAACGCAAGATCGAGAGCATCGCTGAGCTGCAGCCCAAGCCCTACAACCCCAAGAAAATGTATCTTACGGAAAATTACATCGCTCTCGTGCGCAGGAGCGACTTTCTGGAGGCCACGGGGCTGGATCTTCTGCACCTGGGCAACAACCGCATCTCCATGATCCAGGAACGCGCCTTTGGGGATCTCACCAACCTGAGGCGCCTCTACCTAAACGGCAATAGGATCGAGAGGCTGAGCCCGGAGTTGTTCTATGGCCTGCAGAGCCTGCAGTATCTCTTCCTCCAGTACAATCTCATCCGAGAGATTCAGTCTGGGACTTTTGATCCCGTCCCAAACCTCCAGCTGCTATTCCTTAACAACAACCTCCTGCAGACCATGCCCTCAGGTGTCTTCTCAGGCCTGACCCTCCTCAGGTTAAACCTGAGGAGTAACCACTTCACCTCCTTGCCGGTGAGTGGAGTTCTGGACCAGCTGAAGTCACTCATCCAAATCGACCTGCACGACAACCCTTGGGATTGTACCTGCGACGTGGTGGGCATGAAGCTGTGGGTCGAACAGCTCAAAGTGGGCGTCTTGGTGGACGAGGTCATCTGCAAGGCGCCCAAGAAGTTCGCCGAGACCGAGATGCGCTCCATCAAGTCCGAGCTGCTGTGCCCGGACTACTCTGACGTGGTGGTTTCCACGCCCACGCCCTCCGCCCTGCAGGTCCCAGTTAGGACCAGCGCGGTGACCCCCGCGGTGCGGCTCAACAGCACCGGGGCTCCCGCGGGCTTGGGCGCCGGCGCGGGCGCCTCGTCTGTGCCCTTGTCGGTGCTGATCCTCAGCCTGCTGCTGGTCTTCATCATGTCGGTGTTCGTGGCCGCCGGGCTCTTCGTGCTGGTGATGAAGCGCAGGAAGAAGAGCCAGAGCGACCACACCAGCACCAACAACTCCGACGTGAGCTCCTTCAACATGCAGTACAGCGTGTACAGTGGCGGCGGCGGCGCGGGCGGTCACCCGCACGCGCACGCGCACCACCGCGGGCCGGTGCTGCCCAAGGTGAAGACGCCCGCGGGCCACGTGTACGAGTACATCCCGCATCCGCTGGGCCACATGTGCAAGAACCCCATCTACCGCTCCCGCGAGGGCAACTCGGTGGAGGATTACAAAGACCTGCACGAGCTCAAGGTCACCTACAGCGGGAACCACCACCTGCAGCAGCAGCCGCCGCCGCCGCCGCCGCCGCCGCCGCCGCCCCAGCCGCAGCCGCCGCCGCAGCTGCAGTTGCAGCCGGGGGAGGAGGAGAGGCGGGAAAGCCACCACTTGCGCAGCCCCGCCTATAGCGTCAGCACCATCGAGCCCCGGGAGGACCTGCTGTCGCCGGTGCAGGACGCCGACCGCTTTTACAGGGGCATTTTAGAACCCGACAAACACTGCTCCACCACCCCGGCCGGCAACAGCCTCCCGGAATATCCCAAATTCCCGTGCAGCCCGGCGGCCTACACGTTCTCCCCCAATTATGACCTGAGACGCCCCCACCAATATTTGCACCCAGGGGCAGGGGACAGCAGGCTGCGGGAACCGGTGCTCTACAGCCCCCCGAGTGCTGTCTTTGTAGAACCCAACCGGAACGAGTATCTGGAGTTAAAAGCAAAACTAAACGTTGAGCCGGACTACCTCGAAGTGCTGGAAAAACAGACCACATTTAGCCAGTTCTAAAAACAAAGAAACTCCCTTGGAGCTTTTGCATTGAAAACAAACAAGCAACCAGACACACACGGTGAACACCTTTGATTAATTGTGTTGTTTCAACGTTTAGGGTGAAGTGCCTTGGCACGAGATTCTCAGCTTGGGCGGAAGATACTGAAAGGGTGTGCAGTTTCCTTTTAGTTTTACACGTGGGAAACATTTGTGTAAACTGGGCACATCACTTTCTCTTCTTGCGTTTGGGGGAGGAGAGAAGGGCTTTATGGGGGCGGGGGCAGTTTGCTGGCCGGTGACTTGTTAAAGGTCGCAGTCATTTTTTGTTGTGTTTGGAAGTGCTAAGAACGTTGGGAGCTGGCAGGGCAAAGATTCTCATCTTTCTCTTTTGCTCACCCCTCCTCCCTTCCTCCCCCTTTAAGCCGCGGGTGGGTCTAAATGGCTATTGTGGAGAGATTAGCACACCCCAATTTTATTAGAAAGTTTGTTCTCTCTTTCTCTCCCTCCCCACCCCCTTCCCTGTCTCTTTCTCTGCCTCCCAGCCTCCCTTCTCATTTCCTTTCCTTTCCTTTTTAAAGGATGTGTTTGTATGCATTCTGGACATTTGAATTCAAAAACAAAAATATTGTGATCTTGGAAAAGATCACCTTAGATGTGGACAAATCATTAAAATTACAGAGCTATATGATCCATAATTGATTAGTCAAAATAACTTATTGATGAAATATACAAATATTTTATTGTAGCACCTATTTTTATATGCACATTTAGCATTTCTCTTTCCTTCACTATTTAGCCTATGATTTTCACAGAGGTGTCACGTTATATTGGGAAATGCTTTTCCAAATCTGAAGTGATAACAGGAAGGCATTTTTAATCATTAAAACTATGGAAAACTTAATGGCTAAATCTTAAGGCCGATTATTCAACCCACCCAACTGAATCTGTAATAATAATAAAATAAAATAAAAACAACTATCCCAATGTATAAATGAAAAAAAAAAGGGCAATTAATTGGGCCATTTGAGTGAGAATCGTGTGCAAGTTTTGGGTTTTACTAGAAAAGATTTAAAGGTATTTTTATTAGTCAACCAAAATGATGTGTTGATTTGACTACTATTGTAGCCGAGTTTTGATTGTTTAACCAAACCCAGTTGCATTGTACAGATCCACGTGTACTGGCGCCTCAGAAGACCTAGTGATGGACTGTACAAATCTCTTTGCAATGTCTTCATCCCTCTGGGCAGCAAGCAATGATGATAAACACAAACAGGATCTCTGTAAGATGGGGCCACTGTTGTTACAGTCTCATATGTATCCCAGCACATGTAATTTTTTAAATAGTTTCTGAATAAACACTTGATAACTATGTCAAATATGAGGGATTGAAGTAATGATTACTTAAGGTACAAAAGAATTTACTGTGTGTGATTGAATATCTCATAACAATATAGGGCATACTATCTAACTTATCCCTAATAGAAAAACTGTCTCCCTAATTATCACAGTTAAGAAAACATGTATATATAATGATGCCTTTTCTGGTTCAGGGAACTGTGTCTTTCTACACATGTCATTTAATGTGTTTATTAATGAAATTTCAACTGTATGCTTTGTTTCCTTACTGAAGTATTCATCTAGTACATGGAGCATGGTAAGTAATACATTGCATATTCATTTTTCTCTCAATATTATGTATTTTGTCATGACAGTATTATTTATTCAGCCTATAATTTTCCATAGTTTCCTAATTTAACCATGTAAAGCTACCTTCAACAATTAGGAGAGATCATTTATCTCAAGTTGATCTAGATACTAAATGTTCAAAATATTGGTGGGTATAAACTTTTCACCTCTGAGTAAGCTTTGCCAGTGAATTGCAATGACTACTTAAGGGTAGAAAATATTTCAGCTAGTCTGAAACTTAGAGTCATGTATTTTATTGCTAGCAGTGAATTGTCCCATAATCTCACCTGGGAGTTGTCCATTATCAAGGGCTGTCCATGGACTATTTTGTTTAAGAAACACTTTCTGTGGCATTCTGCCACAAAGAGGCAGCATTCACCCAAGAGTAAATTGACAGTAACTGCTCGAATTCAAATTGAACAGGTGGTAGCAGATTCCCTGAGGAATTAAAAATATATATATAGTGAAGTTACACCAGCCACATGAAGTAAACTATCCCATTCTGTGCAATGTTTTTTCCTTCCAAGAATTCTGTCTTCAAAAGGGAAAGGGATAAGCTTAATAATGTGGTGATATTATCATAAAAAAAAAAATATCTTACTCTTCATCTACCTCCTCCATATTAGATCCAGGATTAGAAAAAAGGAATAAACACTAGCATTTGACTTCATAAGTGTGGTTGCTATTATTATTTTTTTTCACCACAGGAATTACTTGTCTTAAAAAATATGTCAAAATTACTTCAGTAGATATGGCCATGTTGTATAAATTATGAAATATAATGCAAAATGGAATCCTCCATGTAGTTCAGAAGCTTTATTTCCTAATGGATGCGTAAAATGTCAGAGATAAGAATTACAGGATATTAAGTAGTTCTGGAAATGATAAGTAGCTTCCAAGAAAGTTTGATGCTGTGTTTTCAAAGATTTGCAAAATAATGATATTATTTTCAAACCAGCTCGATTTCACATTATCTTACCACACTTTTATCTCTAGTCTTACCAGAGTGGCCACTGTACTCTTAATCTCAAGAGTAGCGATTATGTAATTTATGAAAATAGGTCACCTCTACATTTTAAATCATTTTTTCAACTGTATTAATAGTAAAAGTAAAATTATTCTTGCTTTAGTAAATCTTAAAAACAGTTTACATGTAGAATCATAAAACTATTGAATTAAAAAAAATGCATTTTCTCCTGGTACATGGTTTGCTGCCAATACATTAACATATATAACCAGACATAATTTGTGTGGGTTGGAAGATTTGAATTTTGGTTTTCTGGTTGTACAGAAGTAAGTAATTCAAGTGGGTAAATCAGTGGTATATGATGGACTAAGGAACCTTACAAATTCTCTCCATAGAAATTTGGAGATCAACAATATGGAATGTTTCAGGCATCAATTAAAATTTGGATGCAAACTAAGCTTCCTTTCTGCGCTTGTTCTATTTGATATTTTGCATAGCCTCATGAAAATGTACTTTCAGGTAGATATTATAAAATACCATTTTTATCTACATATGATTATACTGTAAATACATAAGTATCTCAGAAGTAGCTTTATCCCATGTACATAGATAATTTATATGCAAATTTCAAGTTCTTTTATAGCTAGACTAATGAGCGAAGTTAGAAGCCAATCAGTTTTAGTATAAATGTATTTGGAATACATCTTTTGTTTAGACATGATTATTAACCTTACCAATTTGGACAACTATACTAAGTATCCAAATCTCTCTCTCGCCACCATTCTCTCAATGTCCATAAGAAAATAAAATTGACATATAATGAAATATCCACCCATAATGTGGAAATAGTTAGAATTTAAGAAGCTAACCCAAGGCAATGGTTTTTTGCCCTATATCATTAATTCTATTCTGTTACTAGTTACATTGTTAGAAAACTATTTAAATTAAATATGCACAACCGTCTCTTTCTACACTGTATTTTTCTGACACTGCTTTTTTTTTTTCTTACATCTCCCAGTTCCCTTCCTCTTCTTATTCTTTCTCTTCATTATTTTTCATGATGCAAGGGAAAGAGTGAGAATAGTTCAGTCCATGTTTGAAATGCCAATTATTAGCTACTAAATTTCAAGAGTTTAATAGATTGTTCCCATATTTATACAACTCCAAACTAATGAAAGCAAAGCAAAGTAAAAATATCCTTCCAATCATTTGGAAATAGGTCCTTGCTGTATTTTTCAGATTTTCCAAATTAAGATATTTACAGGAAGAGGAAAATGTTTGGCATAATGAATGTTAAGGCTAAATTTTATGCTGAGAAATGGGAAAAAGAACCAATTTAAATTCAAGAAGCCAGGAGCATTTAATACATTGATCTTCTCATGTAATAAGCTATTGCAAAAATAGTAATTTTATTGTTATTAAATTAATTTTATGGATAACATTTTTTTAAACTCCTTAAAGTTCTCCATTGTATTACAAAAACAAATATATGAGAATATAACTTAAGTATTTGGGTGGACATTAGTCATGTGTCTAGGTATAACATCTATATCCAAAAGGAACCTTCGAACAATTATTACTGTATTTGACATGTATGCATTCAAATTAACCCAATGCCTTTCTACAACTATCGATATATATTTTCACAAGAATATATGACATGTTGGCATGTGAAAATATGTATTATCAAAGAGCATTATATAGTCAATTTTCATAAAAGTCTTTATATTTCAACTTTTCAATTATTTCAAATTATACTTTCATGTTCTATGTTTTAGGCATGCTAGATTGCAAAAAGAAAATAATTTTGTGCCACACAGTGTGTGACATTACTATAATATTTTTTCTTCCCTCTGTTTATATAACATGTCATCTGATGATAGAACACAGTTCAAATGTTTTTTCATGGTAACTATACAAATTAATAAAATTAACATTTTTTATTCTTAGAAGAACGACATTTAATTTTAATTAAGTTGAAGTGATTTTGATTATTCCTTACAAAACTTATGAAAATCAAATAATAAATATTTCTAGAGAATTGATGTGAATATGAAATAACTTCACTTTCTCACTTTATATTACCGTCAAAATAAAAATTAATGATACATACCATTTGGTATATCAAATACATTTTTATTAGCTTTTAGGGAAGTTTTTTTATACAAGAAAAGTAATATCCATAGTGGTATGTTGAATGAAAATCTTCCACTCTGTGTTTGTTTTTGTTTTTTTTTTAATTAGGCATCTTTTATCAGTGAACATGAAGGAATATTGTTTATTTCATCTATAAATATGTACATGTTTCAAAATTACATGTATTTATGAAAGTGGAAAACAGGAAACAATTTATTCAAGGATGATCATTTGTCATGCAGAAATGGAATGTGTCTTTCTTTGACATTCATTAATACCTTGGTTTGCTTTCAACAATGTTACTATAGATCATTATGTTTTAGGAAATATTTTCTAAATATCACAATTTTAATTCACCTTTATGATACTTCAAAATGAAATAGTATATACACAAGTAACAAATTTCAGTTATTTTTTAATATTCTGGTGAAAACAAAGCTTAGATTTTATTACAAATTGATTTCGACCAGTAATAGTTTCTTATGTTCTCAACAAATTTTTTTTATAAATTTGTGTGTTATAACTCATTACCATTAAAATCAAAACTTAACATTAGATATTGAAACCAAAATTGCTATGTATTTCAGTTTGTTATTAGGTCTTGCTTATGTGAAACTTGAAGGGTAGTATTAAACCTATGTTGTGATTAAAAAAGTTCTTTATCAGTTATGAAAATGAAGACTTTAATCAAAATAATTTTATCCACGAGAGCTTGATCATGCTCTTATAAACTAAAATTTTAAATCTTAAATGTAAAAGTTAATATGTAAAAATGGATACTTAGCCACTAAATATATTTTATACTATTGATATACCTACTTAAATGATCTGTGCAAAAAAATCATGTTGTTAACTTTAAAACGATAGAGTAATTTTGCTTTACTTGAGTCCAAAGTCAGAAGGGTTATTTTACTTATGGAAATCCTAATACTGGGAAGCTCATAAATCTTAAATTTATTCAAAATCTTGAGTTTTAACATCAAGTGTAAACTTCCTTAGTAACATATTACTTTGTTGTTAGTGAACTCTGCTTTGAGTAATGTCCTCTTACAGTGTGCAAATACAGAGTATTTTTCTTTATGCTTGACATATAAGGGAGCAAATATTAAAATATACAGCTGTGAATCAGCACTTGTAAAATTACATATTAAATTTTGTTTCTTTCAAATGTTATCCCTCAATTTTATAACCTTACCCCATTTTTAAAGCTGGTGAGTGTAGGTTTACATAGGTACCTCTAAATTTGAATCTTCTAAGACAGAAGTCACTTATACACATCACAGACCACATAAAATCATTTACCATGCTGTCATTTAAAATCAACTGATGATTGAAGACCCTAAGTTTTAGTTGAAAATTGTGTCTTTTTAGACATTTTTTTGAGAAAAGAACTTAAGCTTTTATAGAAAAATTTTGAATAACCACAGTCAAAATTTAAACATCTTCTCCAAATCTATCAAAACTGTAAAAACATTTGTATAAAATGAAACATTTAATGATGCTATGAATTACATGTAGCTTGCATAATCCTTTGATTTTTTGAGTTAACAGTGTGTTCATTTAAGAATTTTGACTAAAGGATGGTATTTTGTGTATGTGCTACACCGATTCATCTTAAAGTCCTATTATGCTTTTGCTCTGCACTTTTATTTCAATGTTGTGTGCCCAATTTTAAATATAAGGGAAATGTTCTCTACTTCTAAGTTTAATTTCTTACATCTCAAAGCACTTTCCACCACCTCCAAAAAAAAAATGATAAGAAAAAATTGATATATTTCTCTCATTGGTTACTTACATGAATTACAAAAGTAGCTACCTCAGTCAAATTAATAATGCCACCATCTCGTAATATAAATTAGAAACATTATAACATCACACTGGTGTAGTAGCCCAAATATCACATAAGCATGACAATATGAGTGTTAGGGGATTGGGTTAGTACCAAACTGTCACTTAGCACTTGTCACTCATTAATAAACATCCTTAATATGCAGCATCTAAAAACAAAGGTAAATTTCATCGAATGTTTGGGTACTGGAAATTATACAGTTTGATTAATGGGGTGGAATATATAGTTTATAAAATGCATCTACCGTGTGCTTATAAAGAGTGCATCGATCTTCATTAAGTGGTGCTCTTCAGGGTAAAACCTGAAAAAATTGTTTTATTTCATCACAACAGCTTATTTTCTTTGAAAAAAAAAATTGAATGTTTTTAATCCAGATAAAAACCCTCCAAATTGTTTTAGCCTAGTAGCATTTTTTTAATGATACAATATAATCTGCTGGACTCTGAGGGCATTGAACTTCCAACCATGTTTAAATAAACTTAGTTCCTCCAATATTTAAAATCACATAATATATTCATGAATTTTCAGGCATTGCTGTCTATGAACTCAGTTTATTATTAATGTTTTATTTATATTAATATAAAGTGACAGATACTATCTATATTAATATTGTACATAAATAAAAGTTATATAAAGAGAATATTTGAATGAGTTATTTATAACCAGACAGAATTGATAGACCATGGGTGAATATTCTGTAGAACTGCAAATGCAAGCATTAATGACTTACAATAACTCAGAGTCTCTCAGATTCTGTAAACTGCACAGACTCCTGGACATCCAAAGGGGAACTGCAGAATAACTTGAAGACTGTACTATGAGAGAGGGAAAGTTATAGTAGCAGCTCATAATAGAAGCATTTTTCAAATATTTAGCTGTTTATGCACTTGAGAGCAATACAAAAGGTCAACTGTATGAATATATGTCAAATATCTATTAGTCGTATAATTATTGAAGATAGAACATGTAAAATCTGATCCAATAGGTTGAGATCAAAAACATTTGAAATGGTAGAATTGTGAAGACTATTTTTTCAATGTATTAGAAAAATAAATTAGTAGAGAAAGGTGG